AAGACAGTTAATAGCAGTCGAAAATGATGATAAAATAACAAGAATAGTCCGAATATACGGAAGAAAACAACAGAGTGAAGATCGGAGTAAAGCGAGGACAACATTCCCACAGTTGAACAACATATGGGACTCAAAACAACTTTCAACTAATATCACAGTCAGAATCTTCAATAGGAACGTCAATAGAGCTAGTTCTACTGTACGGAGCTGAAACGTGGAGAACTACTAAAACCATCGTCAAGAATGTACGAGTATTTATAAACAGTTGTCTATGCATGATACTTGATATCCGTTTACCAGATACCACCAGCAACAGCAACAGCTGAAGAGGAAGTTAGAAAAAGACGATGGAAGTGGACAGGACACACATGGAGGAAATCATCAAACTGAATCTTGAGGTAGGCTGTAACTTTGCATCCTTAAGGCAAAAGTAATAGTGGCAGACTAACGAGCACATTACTCCAGGAATTGGAGGCAGACATCAAAATAATGAATAGCAATTTGAGACAATCGGAAATAAGAGGGGATGACATGGTTGATTGGAGAATCGTTATTATCGGACAATTCTCCACGAAGGTTGACAGACATAAGTACACCAGTAAGGAAATATACACCATTGAATATCAACTTAGTGACGTAATGGTGATGTAATCAGGACGATCTATTTAACCCATTAATTGATATCTTTGTTAATAATAGAAAAACCTGTCATCGATTACTGTTTTAATCATCGAATCGAGTACATTCTTTTCATAGAAAATTAATTTTATTATAACCACAGAAATTAGAATATTTGTGCTTCAAAAATTATGAATCTATTTACCAGCAGACGGACTAAAGTGATTATATAGTAAAACGATTAATGAAAAATTAACTTATAATGAGGTATAATTATCTAATTAAATCTACTTAAATTAGCTCATAAATTCTTGAAAATTTTTATTCAACAAGAAAGATTGATCTAACAGATATAAAGGCAAGAAAAATGTGTTAAATCTGAGAAGAACATAAGTTGATTCATTTTTAATCATAAATTACTTTGAAGGTAGGCATCAATCCATTCTCTTTCCAAATTGTTTTTAATTGAAGAGGAGTTATTTTGAAAAAAAATATTTAGAATAAGACTTAACAATGTCTTAGATGTAGTAAATTGGTGAAATATATCGACTATTGACTTCAATTAACCAATACTTAATACTGTATTCTTCATCAAATCATTCTTAAAAGCAGAAACTACAAAATCACCTTTTTAACGATTATTTTAATAGCGTGATGTTTTATTTTACTTATATCTGTTACCCCTCGTGTAGAGCATATGCCGATCATCAGCACTTCTCCACCCAACTGTGTTCCAAGTAATCCTTTTCAGTTCTTTCCAGTTCCTATTCATCTATTTTATGTCTGCTTCCAATTCCCGGCATAGAGTGTTCTTTGGCCTTCCTCTTTTCCGCTTCCCTTCAGGATTCTAACTTAGAGCTGGCCCCGTGATGCACTTTGGCGATTTCCTCAATGTATGTCCAATTCATTTTCAACGTCTTTTCCTGATTTTCTCCTAAGATGAGAACTGGTTTTTCTCTCCCACAGTAGATTGTTGCTGATGGTATCCGGTCAACGGACATTCACTATCTTGCGTAAATAATTGTTCATAAATACCTGATGATGGTTGTGGTAGTTCTCCAAGCTCCAGCTGCGTATAACACAGTGTTGTTTTAAGCAATATAAATGCAGATTAGGAAGAAAATGAATCTTCTAAATTATCCAAGTGAATTTTAACGAAGTATGGAGTGAGACAGAATATTAACTTAAACTGATGTATTCACTTCTAGAAAAGTGTATTTTCACCACTGATTGACGAGAAACTAAAGAAACATTGGATTAAAAGTGGGAGAATCTCATTTTCGTCGCGTACTCCTTCGTTATGTTCCATCCACCACTTCACGAAAAATAAACCCAGAATATTTATAAATACAGTAATTCATGTTTTCAATTCTAGTCAATTTACTCTACAACGTGACGTTTATTCCATTCCAAGAATGACTTCCATTTCATTCCCAATTTGGTTATAATTCACATGACGTGATTTCACACAAAAACTCCCATAATTCATCTGATAGTTAGTCACTAATGAACCCACGAGTACTGTTACCAGTAAAAGTTTATAGATATTTTTAATACTAAGCAAGAGATTTCAAACTTTATGATGAAATATATGATCAAGAAGTAAACTACTAAATTCATGATGAATATGGCTAGATTGTCTTCCTTTGTAATACCACAGCCAAATAGTTTTTCTTACCTATCTACGAATTTAATCTCTTTAACCTATCATGAAATGAAATAAGCGTACTAATGGTCACTGAAATTCAACTCACTTATTAATTTTAATGAAAATCTGCAGAAACAATACAAAGTAACACAGTTATTAACAAAAACAATTCATCATATAGAATTATCCTTTTTTCTATTGACCTATTGTTTATTATTTATTCTGTATAACAACTCATTTGAAGCCAATTTCAAAAGTTAAGATAGAAAATAAGCATTGACCTGAAAAATAATATGTTCTTTTTGTCCTGGTACCCATATAAAACCTACGATAAATAAGGAAAAAATAATAATCTAACGAATTTGCTTAGATATTATTCATTTATACAGGAAATACTTAAAATAATTTAGATTGTTTATATGTTAACTGAACTGCTACTTTCCTTCAGTGAAGTGATTGTATTTTAGCCCTTATTCTTATTTTGATTGTTTTTATTTACCTTATCCTAATTGATAAGATGAAAACATCTTCATTTCCTGAGGTCGAGAGTGTTCATTCAATTTCATAGTAAGCATGAAAACATTATTTTAATGAACAACTAAGGATTTTTTAAATGGATAACAAGTGTAAGTTAAATACTACAAAAATAAAGTGTAAATTTTCGTGGTAAATCTTCTTCCTTACATTGAATGACATCTTCATACAGGTGATTACTCTGAAAGGAATATTGGATTTATTCTTACTAGCAAACATTTCTGAAAAGAACAAGCAACGGCTGTATGAAGCTAAAGTTAAAATACAAAAGATCACTCATAGATCTATTAATTTTTATAATGATTTTAAATTAATTGCTTAGTATACAAGGGTTTATTCAAGCTTCCAAAAAGTAAATTTATTTTTAAGACGAAATGATAAGTAAATCAAAGTGTCATTGATAACAACTAAATAAAATTATCTCTTTTTCAATTGTAACGAAAAGGATAGTGCCTTGTTGTATCTAGTGATTTCTATATCAGTGAGGATCTTGATTTTTCAGTTACTTACTTACCTAAGCCTGTTACTCCCAATAGAGCATAGGCTGCCGGCCAGCTTTCTTCAACCCACTGTCCTCGGCCTTCCTTTCTATTTCTATCCAGTTGTTGTTTATTCTTCTCATTATCTGTCTTCATTTCTCGGATTAATGTGTTCTTTGGTCTTCCTCTTCTCCTTTGGTCTTGAAGATTCCAGGTGAAAGCTTGCCTTGCGATGCAGTTGAGTGCTTTCCTCAATGTGTGTCCTATCCACTTCCAGCGCTTATTCCTGGTTTCTTCCTTCGCTGGATGGAATCTGGTTTGTTCTCTCCCACAGTAGGTTGTTGCTGATATTGTCTGGCCAACGGGTTCGAAATATTTTGCGTAGATTTCATATTAGTATAAAATATTTGTTTAAGAATTTATGCTCATCTAAATTTTACTGTATATTAGAGTAAAACCTGATCTAATCGAAAAAATTATAATTCGCTTATATATGTTGTTCTAAATCAACAAATAAACTCTTTCTACTGAAAACTGTGTTGTGTTTGACCAATTGAACTTAATAGATCGTTGAGTCTTTTCTATATTTAATACTTGTATAGACGTATTTTTCATAAGTTTTATTTATAAAATGGTGATTGTTAGAATTATCAGGAGTTTTGTGTGGAGATTTTAGTAATTTTATATAGTTGAAATCATGAGTCAATTGAAGCTAGACCACCAGGGAAAACCTGTAAGCACTAGACGGCCGTTTCTTTCTGTTGTGGGACTCCTCAGCAGTGCGCATCCACGACCACGCCTCGCGAGATCCAAACTCAGGACCTACCAGTGACCAGTGGAGTTCAAACCACATCTGTTGTGAGATATCAACTCACTGAAGAAAATTGGTGAATGGTTGCTCGACTTCCTGGATTGGTTGAAGTTAGACATTAACACCATCGGGTGCCGGCTCAGTGGTCTATCGGTTAAGTGCTCTGGTGCGAGACTGGTAGGTCCTGGATTAGAATCTCGCGGGGTGAGGTCGCGGATGCGCACTGATGAGGAGTCCCACAACAAGACGAAACGGCCGTCTAGTGCTTCTAGGTTTTCCCTGTTGGTCTAGGTTCAATTGACTCAATTATTAGAACGTCAAATGAGAGATTTTATCCCCTTGAAATTATGCTGTTAATTCCAACTGGAAATTAAAATTTAGTCTCGCCTAATTTTCATCTTCTTAATGATTCGCACAAAGAATATTTCTAAATGGAAAACTCACTTTTTTATATAATACCTTGGCTGAAGATCTAATTCGAAAATCAAAGATTTATAATCTTGGAATATTCTCGATCAAACAAAAATCTGTAAGTATTGATAAACAACATGAATTCAGTGTACTAAAACTTCTCATCGGTATTAGTCTAAAACTTTATGTTTAAGTGGTCAAGCTAATCATTTTTCATTGTAAGCAGATAATTGAGTATTATAGCGACACAAATAAATTTCATCCTTATGAAATGTGAATGAACAAACGCTAGAAATAATATTTTAGTGGTATTTCTTTTTAAATCTACGTTCATTGGTCAAACTAGAGAAAAACGACAGAAATTCAACCAATCAGAATTTCATCTTAGCTAATAGAGGGGTAGAAAGAGTGACATGAAAAGATTAGATAGAAAAATAGCACACTAAAGATTCAATTTCTATTCTAAACCCCCCTTCCTTACATTATTCATAAAAATAAACGCTTTGGTTGTTGTATAGCCATATATGTAGCCACTGATTAAAATTTCACTAATACAACTTTCAAAGTCTTCCGAATACCGAACCAACAGAAATTTATGATGTAATGAAAATGATCGAGGTAATAAATAAATAAACATCAAATAACAACCATTAGTGTTCTTTGTCATGGATATGAATTTCAAACAGTACTATCAATCAACTAACCTAACAACTGATATTCATAACACAAACGATAGTAATCAATATACAGAAAATGAGCAAGCACAATTCGACAAGTCAAGTACAAACGTGATCGTTTCAAATCATATTAAAGAATACGTTCCTAGTTCTATAGTTTCTTCAACTATATCAAGTTCAACTATCAGTCCAATTCGAACCTGTAACAGTAATTATGATACCATTAATAATAACACAGAAACGAAAATGAAAACGGTTACAAATTCTTCACGTATTACTACAACAAATCCAATATTCAATTTTTGGCGTAATTCTACAAGACGTTCAGGGAATTGGGGTAGTCGTACTGGTACTAAAAAATCATTTGTATGGAAATATTTTTTTCATCCTGAATTACATTTGGGTACTAAAGATTTAACTCATACACAATGTATTCTATGTGATAGTTTATTAGCATTTAATAATTCCGGTACAACAACCACTATGTTAAATCATTTAAAAAGTCGTCATGCTGAAATTGTGCAGCAAGAATATCAGCAATCTAAAAAATCACGTTGTGGTTTGATGACATTAAAAGAAATGAATAAATTGACTAAATTAAATTATAATTTAACGAGTAATGATACGAAACTAATTGACTGGTCAAAAAATAATTTGATTACATCATCAGAATTATTAAAATCGTCATCATCATCAGGACCAGCAGTACCAATGACACTATCCTACACAAATGAACACAATAATCCAACTTTATTATCAAGGCGTACACACCGTGGACGTCCACCTGGTTCACATAGATATTTTGATTATTCAGTGGCAAATCCTAAATTCAGTCATATTAATAACGATAATAATAATATAAACTATCTAATGAAAATTCACAATTCCAATATCAATAAATATGGAGAAAAAGAAGTTATGAAAGAAAACGAAGAAATGAACCAATTACAAACACAAATTAAGGTTGACACTTGTAGCCCGTCATACACGTTAGGTAATGAAAAGGTAATTATAATATTGTATATTATTGAATATTTACATATTAACCTTCTATGACTAATGAGTAAAAATCTAAGTTATACAGTATTCTATATAATCTGGTATTTGTTTATTTATTTCCGAGAATTCTGATTTCAAGAGTGATTGTTGGAATGTATCATGTATGTCACATGGAGGTAAAAGTTTATCTTCATTTTTAGTGTGAGGTTTGGTTTAGTTTTGAGCTGATAAATTTTGGATAAGATTCAACATTTTTTCTCAAACATTTTTATATTAAATTAGTAATTAACACAAACATATTTTGATTTTGGTCTAAAGATACTTTGTATCTATTCAATAAAAAAACACATTTATGCATAGGATAATGCTGAAAGGATAATCAATGCAAGATTTCTAAGAATGTCAAGAGGTGATATGAATATGAGTTTTAGTTATCTTTCTTTTTTAAATATACCATAAAGTGTTAAACTGTGCAGAACTAAATTATCATTGTTTATTAAATATGGAAAAATTCGAACACTTCACTTCTACTTGAAGTTTGTACTGATGACGTCGTTCAGAAGAAAGATTAAAGCCCCACGACTTAAAACCTGTTATTATCTGAAAAAGTAAGGACTGTGTTAAAGAAGAATGGGATGTAAGTTAAATTAACAAAACAATTTCTTTTTATAAAAAGACAGTGTATCTGTTGTATACATGTTTGAATGAAGTTTAAATTATATAAATTATTATAAATTATATATATAAATAGAAAATAATTTAACTCCGAATCAACTTTAGAGATGAAACTCTGATGAGTACAATATTGAAAGAAATACTGTTTTGTATTCTGTTTCCAGACATCGTTACTAACCATCATAGGTTTTTAAAAACTGTTATATTTTAAGAAAAATAAATGACATTTTTAGAGTTTACCTTGTGAATTAACTTCGGTTAAACAATCATTACAAACCAGAAAGCATTGAACTGATGTCTTGTCATTCTCTAAGTTCTTTTTAGGAGTATGTATCAGTAACTCAACCGAGGACAGAAGTAAGAATTTTCAGGTCTCATGGTAAGCGTCTAACATTAATACTACTGGGCTCGAGTCTAAATTCAACAAATTGACGATTTGATGAACTATTTTACATTTCTTTTGATGGGTAAATCTCTCACATTCTACATAAAAAAAATCTCTTTTGACATAGTTTTCATTAGAAACTCCAGGAATCACCTCCTGAAATTAGTCACTGATAAAAAAAATCACATAAGTATAGAGAGTTCGTTGAGATTTCTAGGTTATATATCTTATATCATGGATTCACATCACTGAATAGTTTCATACTAGAAATAAAAAGCTGTAGAATGTTTTCTGGTTTGTAATAGTTATTTAACCAAGATCATTTCATGATATTAAAAACTAAGAAATTCAGTAGTGTACACAAATCTTTCTAAATTTATAAATAATATTTGTTAAACTTTTGTAGTTAAAACAAAAATTAAACAAATTTAATTCAAATAATATTTTAATTGTATTCATATCATTTCATTATAATGAGAAGGGGTTTTATGGAGATTTCAGTATTTTCATAGTTGAAATCATGAGTCAATAGAAGCTAGACCACCATGGAAAACATGGAAGTACTAAACGGCCGTTTCGTTCTATTATGGGACCAATGGAGTTCAACCAGATCTGTTATGAGATATCAACTCACTGAAGACAATTGATGAACGGTTGCTCAATTCCATGGATTGGTTGAAATTAGACATTAACACCATCAAATACCGGCTCAGTGATCTAATGGTTAAGTGCTCTGGCGTAAGATCGGTAGGTCCCGGGTTCTAATCTCGCGATGCGGGATCGTGGATGCGCATCGCTGAGGATTCCAATAATAGGACGAAACGGCCGTTTAGTACTTCCATGTTTTCCATGGTGGTCTAGCTCCAATTGACTCATGATTTCATTATAATGAATTATTTTCTTTAATAATAGAATATGTATATATATTTTTTTTTAGTGTACAAATTCATCTGATTTCTTATGGTCAATTCCAAATATGTTTACTACATTAAATAATTCACAATTATTTAATAATAATAAATTATCATTAATAAATAATGAATCAATCTATTCCAATGAAAAATCTACCAATCAACCAATGATAACTTCATCCAATTTAAACAATCATTCAAATATACAAACATCTAATAATGAATTAATTACTAAATTAGTTAATAATTATTTATCAAATTCAATGAATGATATTTCTAATGTACAATTTAATATAACAAAATTAACTAATTTTTATATAAATGAATTTTATAAACAAATTAATCAACAATCATTAAATACTACTAACAATACTACTACTAATACTACTGATAATACTAATAATAATGAAATATATAATAACTTAATTAATCAATCAATATTTAATAATTATTTAAATTCATTTGATTTATCATTAAATAATAATTTAAAACAACAAAATTTTTTAAATGAAAATCAATTACAATTTAATAAATTTAATACAAATCTAAATGATCAATATCCATATCCATTTAATGATAATATTTCAATGAAATCATATCCATCATTTATAATAGATACAAATGAACCGCTTGATTTAAGTTTATCTACATATAAACAAAAAATGGAAAATATTTTAGATTTAAAATCTTATAAAAACAATAATAATTCCCCAATATTTTTTAATAATACTACTACTACTACTGATACTAATACTACTACTACTACTACTAATAATAATAATAGTAATAACGAAGATTGTAAATATAATTCAGCTTTTACAAAAGTTTCTCCTCATGAAGAATCTTCATCAAAATCTACAAATAATTCAATAATGAAGAAAGAAAATTTAGAAATTCAAAAAAATTATACAACTACAAATACAATACATAATGCAAGTGTATTCTGTTATTAATTTTGAACATATTTCATCATTGTGGATCTCTTTTTTCATTATTATTATTATTATCTTTTTTGTATATAAAACTGATTGTTGGAGGATAAAAATTTCTAGCTAAATTACGAACTGTGTTCTTTTAATTAAAAAAATCTTTGAGAGGTTATTTTTAGAAATACGTAATCAGTAAATCATCTATCTGACTTTATATGGATAAAGGTGATCGACAGTATGTCTTGAATCTAGGTTTTATGCTAGTTGGCAGTTGTCAATAACATGTATCTATAATTTGAAGTCGTTATATGGTTGATGGGATTCGAACTTATTTCAATTAGCATAAGAGTTATTTACTTGATATTCCAAGATAAATTCTATTATAGGTTAATTATAATTATAAGTAATTGATTAAACAATTCAATTAGGATAAGACTGCATGGAAATATATGCTATAGAATTACTTATTTACTTACTTACGCCTGTTACTCCCAATGGAGCACAGGCCGCAGACTAGCGTTCTTCAACCCACTCTGTCCTGGGTCTTCCTTTATAGTTCTATCCAATTTTTGTTCATTCTTCTCATGTTTGTCTCCATTTCTCAGTGTAATGTATTCTTTGGTCTTCCTCTTCTCCTTTAGCATTCAGGATTTCATGTGAATGCCATAGAATATATAGTATTAAATTTTCGCATATAATTTAAAATTTACCGGGTATTTTCTGATACTAAGAATGTTATGAACTACTTTTCTATATACATAGAATGAAGCACAACTTTTAAAACAATATCATTTTGTTATTTATTTGATTGCGAAAGTAGGATGGTCAGTTTATTACTTTTAAAAATGTTAGCGATTAGTTGTAAACTATCAAGGTAATTAATTAGGCTAAAAATATCTAATAAATTAAACATAATTCTACTTTTCAATATCTATCACTTTGCTAGATAGAAAAGAATGTAAATTAGTTATGTTATCTAACAAAACATAACAATTTAACTAAGTGATTCACTTAGATACTTAACTATTCTAAATATCTCAAAAATCTTTGAGAAGTGAAAATAGGAGTGAAATATACTGTTTCAATAAGATGTGAAGAGATAATTAATTGAAATTCAACATCTAAAATTAATACAAGGTTACTTGAGGAGATTGCACGATTTTCATAGTTTAAGTCACGAAATGATTTTAGTTAGACTAACAATAAAAGCCTAGAAACATTGGAAGACCGTCTTTTTGTAGTATGAAACTCCTCAGGCGTGTGCATCCACGGCTCTACAGTCGGGAATCGGACCTTCTATCTCTCATGCGGACGTTTAATCACCAAACCACTAAATTCTCATCCGATAGCGTTAATATTAAGATTAAACCAACTCACTTTGTTACTTGACCATCCGTTGGCCACTGTGAATAACTGTCTCACACTCTGTATGGTTGAACTCCAATGGTTATAGCTTCACACTAAAACTCGAAGAGTTGCATTTTAAAGTTAGTCACTAGTGAGCAGGTGATTATCATTAGTATTGAGGCATTATAGAATTTCTATAATTCTAATCATGAACTGATTTTAATATTGTCTATAAAGAAATATGAAAAATCTAGATGGATAACCGTAACGAACTATATTCAACTAGACCACATAGGTATTTGAATAAATGTTTCATAATATAGCGATAGTATCCGAACAATCATAAGTGGACAACAATTATCTGAGATCACTTACTAGTTGACATACCTATATTTTTAAAAACAGCAAGTTGCCTCTGAATTTTCTCTATTTTTATACTGGGACGAAAGACTGAAGTAAACAATGACGACAAATTACTGGCTATCATACCAATCAGAATGTCAATGAACCATTTAGGCGTTTGACTCTTTAAATATTCATGGAATAGTATGTATTTAACTTAATTTAACATACTGGTTTAAGCACACTGAGAGAATAAATCCAAAGAAAGTTTAAATAAGGATACCTTTGACACGAATTTACTTTAATCGTAGCCACAATGAGATTAATTATATGGTCAACATTTTATAAATATTTCAAAGTAAGTTGTCCCCTTTAGAAAATGAATGAAAAGTTAAAAATTTCCATTATATCAGAAAAATCAAATATATAACAAAAGTAACTAGCTACTATTTACTTGGATGAGATAAATTTACTAAATCAAAAAAATGTACGTTAAACAGACTTAGTTATCATAACTAAATCTCATATCCGATTATACAGACTAGTAAACTGAAATTGACCAACAATATTCTATATCAGAAGGGGTTTTGTGGAGATTTAGTATTTATCATAGTTGAAAGCGTGAGTCAATTGAAGCTAGACCACCAAGGAAAACCTGGAAACACTGGACGGCCGTTTCGTCCTATTATGGGACTCCTCAGCAGTGCGCATCCACGAACCCGCTCTCGAGAGATTCAATTGACTCACGCTTTCAACTATGATAAATACTAAATCTACACAAAACCCTTTCTGATAATTAATATAATCATATGCGCACTAGTGACTTCGAGAAGTATATCTAGGAGCTCTAATGAGAAGCAGTGACCAGTGGAGTTCAAAACCATGCCTGTTGTGAGGTAGGAACTCACTGAAGACAATTGGTGAATGGTTGCCCAATTTCGCGGATCTGTTGAAGTTAGACATTAACACCGTTGGATGTCAGCTCAGTGGTCTATCGGTTAAGGGCTTCGGCTCGAGACTGGCGAGTCCTGGGTTCGTGGATGCGCACTGCTGAGGAGTTCCATAATAGGACGAAACGGCCGTCCAGTGTTTCCAGGTTTTCCATGGTGGTCTAGCTTCAATTGACTCACGCCTTCAACTATGATAAATATTCTATATATTTGTTAGTACTGATCTTGTTCGATTAATCAACACTACATAGACTACTAACTTCATATAATACTGGATTATTATTTGTATAAGGTAGATTTACACAATCGATAGGATTTAACGATCTATGAAAACTAATAACCTTGGTGTCCTTATACAGTTATTCATGACCTAACTCATGAGAAAAGGCATTTTAAACAAATCAATGGTAAATTCCTTGACTATATTTTGAATTACATGAGTTCTAGCATACCTTATTCTTAAAGACATAAGTTTATTTTAAGTTTATAGCCCATCATATTGATGAATACCAATAAATCCAAAATCTAAATATTTTTTCACCATCTAGTCTCTCTGACTGTTCTTTTACTTAGCTAGAATCTCTCATTTTATGTAGTCCATAAATTATTACTCGAAAATAAAACCACTAGATAAATACATTACTACCAGCAGACTATACATTTACAGGAGGAAACAGCTATCTTCTGAGTTTTCTTATCAAATCTTTTCTTTTTGACAGTTAACAGATCAAAAGTTCGATAATACAAAGTCATGTTTTTGTATGCAACCTATAGGATTCACTGGACATGCAGCTTGCATTAGTTGACACTCATCCACAGAATGTTTATGTAGTATTAAGGGGATGTGGTTATATTGGAGTAGTTGCGATCTCTGAGCTAGATGGATGGGTTGTCAAGCTTTCATTGTTCTTCTGAACAACATCATCATGTACTTTAAAGAGACGACATAAAAATAAATATCTTACTCTTTATGATTTATCAGTATGATTTCTGAACAATTGAATATATAAAATAAACAGTCAATTCTAATTTATATATCTTCCAGCACTTGATAAAATCAAAGAACGTTATTGATAATAATGAGTGCAACTATGTATTATTATTAACTTTCTTTTATGACTTCTATACACTTCATCCAGTTTGTCACAACCTCTAAGATGTTCACGTTATAATTGTGATTTGATTACTATAGTGTAAAATACTAGTCATTAACCGCCTTTAAATTCAAGACGTTATCTTTCTTATTTGCTTCGAAGTTTAGTTGTTTAGTAGTTTTACGGTAAAAAAAGGATGGTTATCTAATTGAAGATAAAAATTATTCTCTAACATACCTTCTTCTAATAAGAAAGTAGTTTGTATTATTATTATTTTTTCTTTTCATTTGACATTTTGTTAGAATCAATGATTTTCTTATTCAAAAATTTGTTTAAACTCGCCTAACTTCCAGTAGAATTGGTTAATACTAATGAACTTAGATTAGAAAACAAATGAATTCAACTAGCTAGTATGAACAAACTGATAAATTTCTATCAAGATAACTAATTATATAGATAATCTGTAAGAAAAAAAAAGAAGAAAACTAACTGTTACATATTCATTTGTTTAGTTCTTCTAAGTCATGATCGAACTCTTTGTATAAGTAGAAACATTAGTTACTATTCACTAAGATAGTAATATAGGAAAAATAAACATGAAATAAGAATTCATTTATCAAAGTAGTTGTATATGAAATACAGTTGAATATCAATGACCAGTCATTGAATATTTAACTTGTTCTATTTAAGATTACATTTTCTTTCTCATAGAATTGTTTAACTATCATAAATTTAAGTAATGTGTACTACTTTCATTCATTCATTGAATCCATCTAGTTAATTAATTTAATGATTTCACCCTTGTTTTTTTTAAAAATATAGGTCAAAGCTCACACCATATTTATTGAAATATCTTGAATAAGAGTAATATATCTGAAGATATTTTTTTTCGGCTATAATATATCAGTAAGCAGATTGTATACAGTTAACCAGATTAGTTAGCTTGATATATAGATGTATATTCATGCTTTAGACACACAAACATCTATGAAGATAAAAAATTTCAGTTAATTTAAGTTCCAGTATCTAGATTTTAACCGGTCTGATGGAATGTATACGGTAAATATTTTAAAACTTTAATAAGTTGGTTAGAATCTTCCCAGTAAAACAGCCTAAATAATGATATATATAGTAAATGCCTTATTGTCAAAGCTTTCACTAAAAGAAATATGATTTCAATAATATCCTGACTTATTGTATGTAGTGAACTTTGTAAAAATATAGTCACAAAATAATAACAACTGACATATCAAGTCATTTAGTTAAATTGTCTGTAGTTCGAAATAAAGAGAAAAAACAATATTGAAACTTTCAAAATCATTAGTGGTATCACTAAAGTCTTCGTATAGCGGTGAGTTTTGCAGGTAAAATATTTTATAAATTATACCAAGCAATGAATTAATATTGTTAATTGTTAGATAGGAACCAACAATGCATTACATGAATTTATTTGATGTTGATTGCATAAATATACGTTAGTTATATATTTGTTTATTGACATGTGTAGATGTTTATTACAATGAAAAGAAACTGAATAAATGAATATCACATATGAAATTGTCACAGTGATGTGTTGAGACAATTTACAGTAAACAATTGTTCGATATTCATATGTTCGTATAACTAACGCACATAGATAAAGTACAGAAGACTCATTTGAGAATAAACTATTATCTGACGAAGTTGAAAGAGTGAATAATAAATCAAGTTATATGTAATCATGAAAATTCGTCTAATGACTTTGATTTAATACTAAATGCCCCCCTTCTGAGAATAAAATCTCCACAAAACCCACATCTGAAATATTTGCTTTATCAACAATAACAACAAAATCTGTATTATAAGCAATTGATCAGTGTGTATTGCCTCAATATAGCCTTAGTTCACGAGCATTATGAGCAAAGATGGATAGTGGATAGCAGTGGAATCCAACACGCGCGTTCGTTCTATTTGGGACTCGTCAGCTGGATGTACCTTCATCTCAGGGTCGATGTTTACTCTGGGACAGTATGCATATATGACCAATAAGAGATTGATCAGTTGCAGTCCTAAACAACAATGGTAATATTCAAACAAACAATACTAAGTGAATTTAAACTTCACCTAATTGCACAGGCAAGTGACTACCAGGACTCAGTGGTTAAGTGGAAAACGCGATGGCGTTTGAAGCGAAAGTTACTTGATTCGAGTCTCAGAGTGAACATCAACTCTGAGATGCAGGTACATTCATCTCATGAGTCTCAAATTGGACGGAACTCGCATCCTGGATTCCACTGCTAGCCACTATCCATATTTGCTGATAATTGTTTTCAAAGTTTTGGTATTTACTATATAAGACTTGATGCCCATAATTTCATTTGCTGGGTTAATTTCAGTACATTTAGTTGAGAGTATCAATGTTAAAACAGAACAATCGACTATTATTACGTATATATTAACAGTTCACTAAATGAATTTAGTTCATCAAGAAGACTATCTTCAGTTGTTTCAAACTTATTTGATTAGTGAATAAAGAGCCTATCAAATAAATAAATTACAACTAATTATTTTATAAAGGTTATTTGAAATTTTCGAGTTGTCGACAGAGTAGACAAACCTTTTTGATTACTCAATTTGATCCAAGTAACTTCGTTAGAATAATGAAATCTTTATATGACAACAAGAAAAATTCTAATATATTTGGCTATACGTGAATATATTGAATAATCTAAATTGATTCCTTAATAAGAATTTGAGAATCAACTATATGGATCCAAACATTAACCATATGACTGAATATACATATTAATGAATTAACTTCAATTTGTCATCTATCGCAAATTAAAACAAATTATTTTTGATTGAGATCATGAATTGATCAATGTTAGATCATCATTGAAAGTCTGGAAGCACTGGACGACTTTTTCGTCTTAGTGTAGTCTATAACTTAGTTCATATTCAATAATCTTTTGAACTTTCTAAGCTTAAAACAAATTTATTAATGCATGTTAAAATACTTTCACAGTATGCTTTTATAATTCCACTATGTAAGAAAAAGATTTAATAATATTTTCAAATTGCTTAGTCTGATTTCAGTAATTATATACAAGATTAAACTAATGTGAAGTATAGTTTTCTGAAAATCTCTTTTAAATTTTCATAGTTAAAAGCGTGAGTCAGTTGAAGCTAGACCACCAGGGAAAACATGGAAGCACTAGACAGCCATTTCGTCCTATTGTGGGACTCTTCAGTGCGCATTCACGACCTCACTTTTTAAATTTATTTAAACTGATTTATTTTAGTTTTTTTGTTTATAATTGCAAACAAAACAATAAGAATAATTTTTTTCTAAACAAATTAGGAAACCAATACTGATAAGACTACGGATAATACTGGGTACAACAAATCATTTTCAATGATTCCAATGGATAATGAATCAATTAACCAACATCAAGGTTTAGAAGAAGAATTTCAACTGTTGAATCAGAAAACCGATGAATCAATTCCTTCTTCATCTCCTTACTTTATTAATGACTATCCGCTTCCTTGCTTTTCTCCATCATGTGAAGAGTTTCATTATCGTCTAGCCTACTTTTTAATACGTGATTTTCATCCACCAAAAATACTGGAGGAAGAAGGATTCAAGGTAAAGCAGAAGAATGAAACTTTAACAGTATTTTTGTGATATTGTGCATATATGTTAAAATTATTTTTGTATGAATACATGTCTGTCCAAAACTCATGATTTATGTAAGCCTGGTGATTATGCTAACAAGGATTTTGCATTCCACACTTTAATTTTAAACTTTAGAAAAATAGAAAGGGAAAAACTCTTCTCACCCACACTGATTAAATGAAGTAAATCGAGACCAGTTTATTGTGATTTTAGATCTTCAAAGTCAAATTTAAGAGAGTATATAAGAGATATTTGTCAATAATGCAACTACAAATACAACTGAATCGATGAAAAAAAGTGAGTAGGGTCATAAACTTGACGACTGTAAGTATATTAGTCATAAATGCCAGTCACTCATTGATGAAAGTCGAATAAAAAACATATTTGTTGATGGGATATACAATTTTATATCAACGATTGATATTTACTTTATAACAGAATACTAAGGTTTTAATGAATCATATATTTATAATTTTAGCACTCAATAATGTTTATTGATTAAAAATAAGGTGCCGTGAGACATATCTATGTATTTGCAGCTGATTGACAATTGAATACTGCCTGATATCTTGTCTGTCTAGTCCTTTAGTGCTGACCGAACTTTATTGTTCATATTGTATTGTGATCACTAATCTGAGTGACTCGAGATCGGATGCACTATGTTGAAATGTTAGGCGATTGGAGGTAGTCGTTAGAAAATCTCGAAACTAGGTTTTGTGCTATTTAGCACTCATCAGAAAAGTGTACCTGTAATCTTGGGAGAACTAATGGTCCCTAGTGAATCTAATCTGACGTAATCCAGCTTCGTAATCTGAGACATTACCACCTAGCTATTCTGGTTGCGACTGAACTCACGTAGGGCTGAGACGCTTAGAACTGATTGGTCATTGAGCAGTGACTAGTGCCATATCTGTTTAGTCCTTTAATGCTAACCAAATAACACAGTGGTAATGTCTCAGATTACGAAGCTGGATTACGTCAGATTAGATTCACTAGGGACCATTAGTTCTCCCAAGATTACAGGTACACTTTTCTGATGAGTGCTAAATAGCACAAAACCTAGTTTCGAGATTTTCTAACGACTACCTCCAATCGCCTAACATTTCAACATAGTGCATCCGATCTCGAGTCACTCAGATTAGTGACCACAATACAATATGAACAATAAAGTTCGGTCAGCACTAGAGGACTAGACAGATAAGATATCGAGCAGTATTCAGTTATCAATCAAATGTTACTCTTAACCTTCAAAACTGGAAAAGGATGTTTTAACATTCAGCATATAAGATCTAAAGTGAATCAGTAACGTCTGGCTCTTATTAGGGATTTCATTCACTTGTTCCAAATTCCCTTTCCGTTTATATATATATAACTTGCTTACGCCTGTTACTCCTCATGGAGGAGAATAGGACGCTCACTAGCACTTCCCACCCAAATCTGTCTCAAGCAACCCTGTCCAGTTCTTTCCAGTTCCTATTCATCCATTTCATATCTGCTTCCAACTCTCGGCGTAGTGTGTTCTTCGGACTCCCTCTTTTCCGTTTCCCTTCATGATTCCAAGTTGGCGCTTGCCTCATGATGCAGTTTGATGATTTCCTGAATGTGTTTTCTATCCATTTCCAACGTCTTCTCCTAATTTCCTCCTCAGCTAAGAACTGGTTTATTTTCTCCCAGAGTAGTTTGTTGCTGGTGGTATCCGGTCAACGGACATTAAGTATCTTGCGTAAACAATTGTTCATAAATACGTGTACCTTCTTGATGATGGTTGTGGTCATCCTCGAAGTTTCCGCTCCATACAGTAGAACTATCTTGATGTTCGCGTTGGAGATTCTGACTGTGATATTGATTGACAGTCGTTATGAGTTCCATATGTTGTTTAACTGTGGGAATGCTGTCCTAGCTTTACCAATCCTCGTCTTTACTTCTGCATAGGATCCTCCTTGTTCATCGATGAAGTTGCCAAGATACGGAAGGATTCCATATCTTCCAGAGCTTCTACATCAAATTTGGTTGGATTGGTATATTGTGTGTTGAATTTGAGGATGTTGCTTTTTGCTTTGTGTATGTTGAGGTGTACCTCTGGAGAGGCTGCTGCTACAGTGTTTGTCTTGACCTACATTTGTTAGTGTTTATGGGATAGAAAGGTCATCTGCGAAGTCCAAACCGTTTAGTTGATTCCGAGCTGTTCACTGTATTGCGAGCTACTCCTTCGATGTCTAGGTCTTCATAATCCAGTTGACCACCAGAAGAAAGAGGAAGGGGGAGAGTAGACAGCTTTGTCTGATTTCGGTCCTTACTGAAAATGCATCTGTCAGCTGTCCTCCATGCACGACTTCGCACCGTATTCCGTCGAATAAGTTCTGGATAATGTTGTCAATCTTTTGAGGAACTCCATAGTGTCAAACAATTTTCTTTAATGTTCTCCTGTCCACACTGTCAAACGCCTTCTCGTAGTCGATGAAGTTGATGTAAAATGACGAGTTCCACTCAAATGATTGTTCCACGATGATCCGTAGTGTCGCAGTTTGGTCTATGCACGACCGGTCCTTACGAAATCAAGCCTGTTGACCATGCAGTTGAGCGTCTACTGTGTCTTTTATCCGGTTCAGTAACACTCTGTTGAAAATGTTTCCTGGTACCGATAGTAGTGTGGTGTTTCTCTAGTTAGTTCGCACACTTGGTCATATCTCCTTTCCTTAGTATCTTGGAAAGATAATTTTCTTTCCAGTCCGTCGACACTTTCTCTTCCCCCCAAAACTTTCTGAATAGAATGCGAAGCATGTTTGAGGTTACTTCTATGTTTAACTTTATTGCTTTAGGTGGTATATTATCAGGTTCTGCTGCTTTTCCACTCTTGATTTGTCTGATGGCCATCCTGATTTCTTCGATCGTTGGTGGAGTGGCATCTGTAGGAAGGTCTGTAGGTGCTGCTTCGATGACTGGTGGATTCAATTGATATGTTCTATGAAAGAGTTCCCGGAAATATTCCACCCATTCGCTCCTGTGTTCTTGAATTCCAGTGATTAGCTTTCCTTTTTTGTCCTTGACTGGTCTCTCTGATTTACTATATTTCCCTGAAAGTTCCTACATCGTGTCATATAGCTGTTTCCTATTTCTTTGTTTTGCAGTTTTTTCTGCTGTAGTTGATGGGTCATCCACGTATCACTGTTTGTCGGTTCTAATGCTCTTCTTTACTTGCTTGTTTGTTTAAATATATTCAACTTGTGCCTTGACTTTCTCTATTCTTTTTCGGCTGTTATTAATTATTGTCTTTTTGTTCATCTTTTCTTGAATCATGTCCAGGGTATATATATATATATATATATATATATATATATATATATATTGTTTACAGATTTATTGAGTATAGTTGTTTATGTATGAATAAGAAATAAATGGAAATTTTCTTTTGACCTTGATGATTTAATGAGTCTATTTTGATGAAGAGTAATTAAGCGTAAAGAAATAAAAAGTGAAAAATAAAATTAGTTACCTAAACTTTCATGTTAACACTAAGAGTAGATTATCTCTCTTCTTTATTATCTATCCATATTTTTTTCTATTTTGAAAAATTGGAAACAGTATGACGTTAGTTGAAAATAAATCAAGTTCTTTACCTAAACCTTTAATAATGAATTCTGTTTTCTTATTTTTTTCTTATTTTTTTAAAATAAAATTAATTTCCATTTTAATTTATTATAATTTATTGATTCCTTTATATAAATTCTCTTGGTAATATTTAGTATTGTTATGGTGAACAAGAACACGAGTGGGGACAATCAAATGTATTTAAGCAAAAAATTACTGACTGTCTCACTAAATTCTGATAACCATACAGTAAACAGTTAATTTGTAAACTATCAATCAATTGTCTCAATCTAAACTGTTCCTTCTGCAAATATCAATTCATCTTCTCTGATTTCATTGTTTATGCACTTTGATACCAATTGCGCTTCGTTTCTATTCTTTCCTTATCTATCTTGTAGTGAAATACATTCTATGCCTGACCATTGCCATATACTACTTATGTGGATATAAGTAGACCACAACACACTGTTATTACAAATACGTGTAAAATTTAGTGCTCGTTCATAAATTAAAGTATTAAAAGAGAAAATGTCTAATTCTTCTTTCTTAAAATTTGGTCTCTGAATGTATATCAGTTATATATATATATATATATATATATATATATATATATATATATATATATATATATATATATATATATATATATACGTCTTCAACCAGTAGTTTTAATTTCATGCTGCAACCAAAAATCTTTTTTAGGTATTATTATTATTATTATTATTATTATTATTATTATTATTATCATTAATATTATCAGAAGGGGCTTTTGTGGAGGTTTCAGTATTTTCATAGTTGAAATCATGAGTCAATTGAAGCTAGGCCACCATGGAAAACCTGGAAGCACTGGACGGCCGTTTCGTCCTATTTTGGGACTCCTCAGCAGTGCGCATCCACTAAATAATCTAATGGTTTATTCCTGTGATAACTGCTTGTTTTAGTTTTTATATTACATAGTAATATAATATACTTTAATGAAGTTATAGACACGTATTTGAAACTTCATGGTTTCATACATTTTCTTGTAAATTTTACAATGAAAGACATGTAGTATGGAAAGAGCTAGTTGAAAAAGATCTGTAGACTCTACTAAATATTATAAGAAAAATAGAGTTTATTTACAACTTGATAGAATTTAATAACCAAGCTTTTCGTGTGTAATCACATCAACCAGGGCTAAAATAAAAACAACAACTGTTGATTACAAATTTATTTTACAAATAATGAATACCCAACAGTTGACATCAATTTTCTTTACATAGTTTATACTGCAGACTGACTTTACTTAGTCAAACACCAAAAACCAGTAGTTACTTGGCAACTGTCTGTCTTAGAATGATACTCCTCAGAAGTTTACTTCCGCGACTTCGAATAATTGATGGAGGTGTCTTACTTACAATCTTGTTTGATTCTTCTCTATTGCTTTCCGTAGGTAAACACCTTGAACCTAAAATAGTCGAACTCCATTAATTACGGTTTCTCATCGAAAGTCCACGAATTATCTCTCGAAATTAGTCACCAGTCAAATCTAAATATTTAATTATAAGCAAATCTTGGTAGTGGCTAGCTGTGGAATCTAGGACACGCGTCTCGTCCTATTTGAGACTCGTCAGTTGGATATACCTGCATTGCAGAGTTGACGTTCTCTTGGAAACTTGAATCCAGTATCGTTCGATTCAAGCATCATCACATTATCCACTTAGCTACTGAGCCCGGATAGCCACTAATTTGGAAACCAGTAATAAAAATGTCATGTCCAGTGTCTAATAAAAAATATTTTATTTGCCTATTACACAAGTAAACCAAACTGTTTCATAAGGATACACTCAGTTATATACAGTATTTAACTTATACTTAAGCTGGAAATGATAACCATTCACAAATCTTCATTATATAATGATGTTACTGTTTATCACAGATGTCGAAACTTTTAAAACACCCTCATCAAAGTTAGCTTCTGTAAATTAATCTAATACAATAACATGTTCAACTATGTCCTAAAACTAATTCTTCCTAAAATGTTTTATTTAGTTTCATCGAGTAAATCAATGTCAAAACACAAAAAAAGGAATTAAGCATTTTGATGGTTTCGCTCATTTCATTAAGTTACATTAGATTTCATTAGCTTACTGTGGTTTTTCTATTCAATTCCATTTTTCCTATTTATAATAAATGGTCATTATCTCTTTCCCAATGATAAAGACTAATGAAACGACATATATGATTAATGTGAAATGAGTTGCTCGAAAACTATATATATGTATATCCAATATAGTAGACTTTTGTCATGATAACGAATCGTTTTCCAATAATAGCATTTGATTATTACGCCGATTTCCATAACTCTAACTTAAATAATGAAAATGATTCATTTGTAAGTAATGATATACGGTAAACATGTCATATGCATATACAATATTGGGAATATGCATATTTAACTTCAGCTAATAAATCTTGTTCTTGGTGAAATAAGACTTAGAATAGATTCTATTAAAGCACATGGGTATATGTGTTTTGAGATTCATTTTACATAGTACCACTAATATTCTACTAACATGAAGTATCAAACTAAAGTTAACAGTTATCATAGCTTTATTAAGAACACTAAGTAAATTTGAAGTTTGTTCTTTTCTTTTTGTTGTTAAAATGAAATGTTGTCTAAGTCAAAAGTGTTAACCTTCGATCAGATCACAGAAATACGACATCTGCTACAAAGATTAAATTATATTTAATGTGCTAATTATGGTAGAGACTATTTTATAAACTAGTCTTTTGATTATGTTGAAAATTGTCATATCTAGAGGTTAGAGTCTTGATATACTGAGTACAACTTGAACACTCGAACACTGAACCCTCCAAGTCGCAGATGAGAAGATAGAAAATAAATGAAAGGAATACTATTCCAAATAGTGTCAAATAAGGTACAAAACTCTCAGGTATTTATAGTTTTTTAGTAAAACCGTAATTATCATTATAGTCATCCAATCCGCATACACGAGTTATAAGCATTTGTCCAGATAGAGAAGCTACACATAGTGATTCTGGAATATTCTTCCAAAAGATGGTTAAATGGAATGTCTTCGGTTCTTTCTGAACTTCTTAGAGATTCCTCAAATTCCCACATGGGTTGTCCTCACAAATTTTTTCTTTCAAAAGTACTTTTAAATATGTTAATCTGTTATTCTTATCAATCGTTAAAACAAAAAGATTTTTCTAAAATTTATTGTTAAATGAGAAACGAAAAAACAACAAAAAAAGATTAAACTTGTCTATTAGAATAAAATAATAATACTAATAATTGATTAATAAATATTTCGGAAATTAAAACAAAAAAATTGTGACCTGATATACTTCCGATTTTTATTATGAATATTATTATAATATTCGATTAAGGTAAGTCAATTTGAGTAAACTATAAGATATAGGGACTTACTTTAATTATTTTAATTAATAAAGTGGTAACAATTAAATTGTATCAGAAAGGGGTTTTTGGATATTATAGCAAATTCAACAGTTGAGATCATGAGTCGATTGAAGCTAGATCACTATGGAAAACGTGAAAGCACTGGACGGCTGTTTCGTCCTATCATGGGAATCCTCAGCAATGCTAATCCATGATCCCTCATCGACAGATTCGAACACAGGAACTATCAGTCTCGCGCGTGAGCTCTTAATCTCTAGACCCCTAATAGGTCCTGGGTTTAAATCTCGTGAGGCTGGATCGTGGGTGCGCATTGCTGAAGATTTCCACAATAGAACAAACCGGCCATCCAGTGCTTCAAGGTTTTCCCTGGTAGTCATGATCTCAACTATTAAAATTAAGTTGTACTTTTCTTTTTCAAAAAATATCAATCCAATTATATATAAGATATTTTTGGTATAGAAATTCTAAAAAGAGTTGAATGCTTTGAGTATGTAACAAAATGTTTTTCTAGAAAAAAATATCTATACACATGCTACTGTCCTTTCGATAATTAAGCTAAACAGGACTTGTGAGAAGTTTTGTTTTTCTATTAAAGTGATGAATATGGCCATTTTTTTAAACTCTTAAATAGGAAATACATTTCCTTGAAAAGGCTTGGACCAGATTGCTAGGCGAAACGTTGGATTTACTTCAAATTCATTCGCAGAGATTGTACAAATATATTCTTCCTATTTAATGTCTCACATCAACTCGGCGCCAAATACTGTGAAATTATTCACTCTAATTTAAACGAAAATTCTTATATCTTAAATCGGAAAGATTTGTCTTTTTTCAATATACTTCAGTGAAATATTTCAAAACAGTATTGATATATTGTATGAATAAATTTATCGTAGATTGAAATTTTACATAGAAACCTTTCAATGATGATGAATGATAGTAAATAATCATATACATTTCTTAAATATCAGTTTATGTAGTTATAAAAAAAAGAAACGAATTTTATTCCTATAAATGTAACTAAACTTCTTTCTATGCATAAAAGTGTAATGCTTAAATTATAAACCATTTAAGAAAATGATGCAAATTATTACATTCACGGGCCGGATACCATCAGAAACAGCGTTTTATGGGACAGGACAAACCAGCTTCCAGCTGAAAAGAAAATTACGAAAAGTTGTTGAGAGTGGATCGGACATATATTGAGAAAATCACAAAACTACATCACAAGGCAAGCCCTAAGTTGTAATCCGGAAGGGATGCGGAAAAGAGGTCGGTCAAAGAACACATTACGCCGAGAAATTGAAGCAGATATGAGAAGGATGAATGTTAACTGGAAAGAACTGGAAATGATTGTCCAGGACAGGGTTGAATGGAGAATTCTGGTGAGCGGCTTACGCTCCTCCACGAGGGGTAACAGGCGTAAGTAAGTAAGTAAGAAAATGATAGAAATTACTTAAAAGATATTACTTAATCATACTATTCAGTAATAAACTTTAATCCTTAATTATTTATATCATTTTCTTTTTTATCTAATATTTCATAGATATTAATTGGAATATTATGGAACAAATTTAAAAGAAAAGATGAAGATACTACTTATAATTTTCAATCTAATTTTTTACCATCATCAGAACTAATGGAAAATCAAATATTAAAAAATCTTTATAAACAATTAAAATTTAATGTTGATCATAAAATTAAAAAATTAATTAAATTACAATATTCAATAGATGATTCTATAATTTTACCACAAATCGCCATTTCATTAAAATTTTGGTCTTTAAATTCAAAAAACCATTTACCATTTGATAAAGATAATTTATTCTTTGAATATGTTGATGTTGAATTAAATTTTTTTGTAAATTTTCAAAATATTACTGATAGTAATCATATTTTCTATGGTACTTATCAGGTAAGAGTAATTTTTTACAGATATTTTCTATTTTTCCTGTTGATATCAAAAATTTATTACACTTAGTAATTAAGATTATGTATGGGATTAATTTGATTATCATGAAAATCAGAAGGGGGTCTTGCTGAGATTTTAGTAATTTTATATAGTTGAGATCATGAGTCAATTGAAGCTAGATCACTATGGAAAACCGAAGAGCACTGGACAGCCATTTCGTCTTATTGTGAGACTCCTCAGCAGTGCATATCCACGATTTCGACTCACGAGATTCGAACCCAGGACCTATCAGTCTCGTGCGCGAGCACTTAACCGACAGACCACTGACCCGATCTGAATCCAACGGTGTTAATGTCTGACTTCAACCAATCCACGAAGTTTGAGCAACCATTCACCAATGTTTTCATTGAGTTGATATCTCGCAACAGACCTGGGTGAACTCCAATGGTTAATGCTTCTCACTAGAACTCCAAGATGCCGGCTCAGTGGTCTGTCGGTCAAATGTTCGTGCGCGAGACTGGTACGTCCTGGGTTCGAATCTCGCGAGGTGGGATCGTGGATGCGCACTGCTGAGGAGTTCCACAATAGGACGAAACGGCTATCAAGTGCTTCCAGGTTTTTCATGGTGATCTAACTTCAGTTGACTCATGATCTCAACTATATATTATCATGAAAATCATCAATTACTTCAAGATTATCGATATATTTTGTTGATTAGTGCAAACTGGTACTATTTATTATTTATTATTATTAATTATTTAAACACATAAATAATGGTACAAGGAAGCACCAGATAAATACGCGCCGCACAAATCTCATTCGATTTGTGTGAGGGCTGTGATACTGCTTAGGTGCCCAGACTGAAACAGGTGGTTTTCTTAGGGGACCACACCTGAACTTTTGACCTAAAGATCTGATCTACAAGGCATCGTGAGGAGATGCAGTCCCATGGTAGCCGGTGACCAACGATTGATTAATACGCCATTTGTTCCCTCACGATACTGGAGCCTATGTGCACTAATGGTTTGGAATCAGGGTTTTCCAACTCCCCTGGGTGGACACTCCACATCCACCAACCCGGTTAAAGTACCAGACATTCGCTTTTCGTCCTCTCACTTTCGTGAACAACAACCCCGCCACGAGAATGCAGTGAGTAGGACTTCCCTGGCAGAGGCTATATATTCGCGTGGCCATATGAGAGCATTTTTCGAGGGAGAGCAGACTCTCCTCACTCTCGGCCGTACCAGGGCATTAGGGGGCAAACTGGTACGAAGCGTAGATCAAGGCTTTGAAGATGGATTACCTTCAACTATCACTTGGAACATTCAAAGTAATGAACTGAAAGGTTTAACAAAATACGGCTAAAAGTCAGTAGTCACCAATATCTAATTGAGGAAATGAAAGCAGTCACTCTAATTACCGATAAGAACACAATATTCAGAATACAATGTTAATTACTATTGACTAGTTTAAGCAAAATCTGCGAAACTTTAATTAGTTTATATGTCAGTAATGGGTTGGGCAGATTGTTTAGTTTAGATTGATATCATGAATGGATTATTGTTAGACTATCATTGAAAACTTCGAAACACTGGACAGCCGTTTCGTCTCGGTATGGAACTTCTCAACAGCGACCATCCATACGGGGTAAGGACACAGGACCTTAGATCTCATGAGTGGGCGCTTAACCTCTAGACCACTGACCCGGCATCCAGCGGTGGTAATGTCTAACCTCAACCAATCCACAATATTTCACAACTATCCAACGTTGTCTTCAGTGAGTGACTGACTCACAACAGGCCTGGTTGAACTCCACTGATCACAACTTATCATTAAAACTGCAGGAAACTCATCTTCAAGTCAGTCGCTAGTAATTAAATGATGACTATCGGTATAGGGTTGTGGAGTTTATGTGGATTAATTTCGATTTAAACCAATCACTACCACTACCAATACAAAATTACAAAAGTAACGTACTTTATTACAAATTGTATAATCACAAGTCATTTGTACAAACCATTCGAAAATACGTTTTCCAAAATTGAGATATTATCAAAATCAAAATGTATCATATTTTTTCTCTCTCTGATTTTAGATAAATGAAATACAGACATTAAACGAAATCTTAAAACCTTGTTGGAATTTGATTTATTCACAATTCAACACAAACTATGATTTCATTTTATCAGAATGGCCTATTATTATATTAACTAATTGTTCAGAATATACAATGAATGCATTCGAAAAATCTTGTCCGATTTCTAATTATCTTATATTACCATGTTTCAATGTTTATATGAAGAATGCTGTACAGGTATTGCATATATGTATAAACATAATTCAAATTACGTCACCATATAAAACTGATTATTAACTAGTTGGGCTCAAAGTTCACCAGGGTAAAATTAACGGCTGAATATATCTCTTTTGGATGTAAAGCTCTGGCTTTTTGGTCTAAATAGCAATTGCTTCAGTCATCTGTAGTATTCTCAGTCTAACGGAATTTGGGAGACTGTTGTTAACATGATGTATTATTGTGAAAGATTGCTCCGTTTTCGGCTGTATGTCTCGTTTGAATTAGATGAGCTAAAATGGAGCTTGATTAACTTAAGAGCAGTTTTGACTAGATCATTTTAATTGATTTCAAGGTGAATAGGGGTTGTTATATTAAAATTGTAAAACATTTGTAAATATATATTCTATATTGAGACTTTACTAAGGTTTTCTTTGTGATATTTAAAATTTTCTTAGTAAATGTTTTAAGTTCTTTTTAATCTGGATTTATGCTCAGGCGTTGAAATTGAAATTCGAAAGTCAAACAGGTCATCTCGCAAGACAATTCATAGACTTGACTAATAGTAACATCTTAAAAACTGCGTTATATTTATCAGATCAACATTTTTTGCATTTGAAATGTTCAGTTCCTTGAAGTTCAGTGTCGTTCATTCAATTTGACAATATATCTTTAAGAGTTATGATGTGCATATTTTAGAGCACCAATGTTAAACAAGATAAGATCATTATTTTGCATTGAAAGTACAGTAATATAAATAAAGTCATTATGAATGGTAAACCATTTTTTGTCAAATATTCTCTTTTGAAAAAATCTATTAAAGGAATCATTTAGTGAGATGTATTTATCAGAAGTAGATCTACGAGCAACTTAAGTCAATAGTAAATGTAATCTACTAACAATACTCGGATTTATAGCTGTTTTCTATATTTTGTAAACACAGGACATTAAAATGGATATTTTTTGCTAACAAAGGACAATTTTTACTCATTCTATGATAAGAAACTAGTGGACCACATCTCTAATTATGTATGGAACCTTTCACTAATTTCAATAGTTGAGATCATGAGTCAATTGAAGCTAGACTACCATGGAAGACCTGGAAGCACTGGACGGTCGTTTCGTCCTATTGCAGGACTCTTCAGCAGTGCGTATCCACTATCCCGCCTCGCGAGATTCATAAGTAGAAACAGTTCTTCTTCAGAAACTCTACCACTCATTATTATAATAATTTGTTTGAAATTTATTTCCATAATGAAGTAATTACATTTAGTAAAACCTATGGTGATACACAAAATATGACAAGTATACTAAAATGATTCGGTATGTAATAGATGTTTGCACAAATCTTTATCCGTTATCAAGTTGTGTTACATAATAGTCCAATGTATTAATCGATATTTCATTATTCTGTTTCTTGTTATTACTATTATAGTGTGCATTACGTATCCCAGCAATTGATCAAGTTCTAAATAACTACCAGAAATCACTTGAAACACTTGATGAAAATGTTCAACAGATGGAGGACTTACCTTCACAATCAAATCTTAAATGTCAATCAAATGATCAAACCAATATAAATGAATCTTTATCAGATATTTTAAATTTAATCACTCGTATAATTTCTAACATGGATCGGTTACCTCATTTCACCGACGTATATATGAACTTGATTAACCGAATTTTCAAATCGATTGAAGTATGTCCAAGTGTAAAATAAACTAGATTAGAGATTGTCTCATATGTTACTGGTATAAAAATACATAACTTTTGATATACCATTCAAAATACCATTGAAAACTAGGAAATTTTGGAAAGCTGTTCTGTTCTACTTTACTCCTCTTTTTCAACAGCTCACATTCACTACCGTACACTGAATCAGAATTAAAGGTCGTATATTTTTTCTCAACCATGATATATTTAAACTACTAAATTTGGATTCATTGGATCCCATTTCTAATTCCAATCAGTTATCAACAAAGCTTAGTAGTTCGCTTTATGAATTCAGCATTTTAAGAGGTCAAGATACTGGATAAACACTGCATAACCTGAATAATTAGGATTTCGGTGGATGGATTCATAAATGAAATTGAAGTGTTAGAATATTTCACAAAATTGTGTCATAGATCAGTACATTATACTTGCCTAACCTATTCATTTAGTTGATAAAGTCGAGAATGGTAAACCATCTAAAAAGTAGAAACTTTTTCTGTTGAAGTTAAATAAATACAGCAGTATGTGGTTTTTGTTAGTATTTTTAAAGTCAGATCGTCAAGAAATGTGAAGTAAGAAAACTTGCGTTTCAATATTTAAAAAGTTGAAAGATTCATGACTTACACAGTATTCATATTCGGATTCTTGGTATTGGGACTCAGCAACAACATATTTGTTCTGGTTGGTTTAGATAAGATTTACTTGTGACGGGAACTAAAGCTTTAAAATTGTTCATAACATGCTTTTAAGATTAAGTACTTCACTAAAATATAGCCCGATTTTGACTTCGATTACCGGCAGATTATGATTCATCAAATATGTCACTAAGATTAATAACCGTGCTTTAAAATTAATTTATTACATATGAACTAACATCATAGATGAAAAGACTAATATACGTTTTCGGCGCAGCTAGCAATGCAGTCTATGAAGGGCATTTTGTCTTGTTTCGTACTCGTCAGATGCATGTATTTGAATCTCTGTGTTGACGTTCATTCTAAACCTCTAATTTAATATCTATCATTTTAAACATTAACACTGGTATATCTAGTTGATAAATTCTAAATGAGAGCAAATATGAGTATTGAACACTTATTGCTGATCATAGTCCAAAGTTATAACTGAATCTTACACCTAGACATCCGTTTACGAAATCGATAGATCCACAAAAACTAGTTAAAGTGACTCCCAAATATCACCAAAGAGAAGATAGAAATGCTTACTACTACTGCTAAAAGCTTATATTTATATTTGTTTGATCAGAACTGAAAAATTCTGAAAACATAAATCATTTTTAATTTATAAACTCTTGATAATACAATTAATATCGTAAATTAAGTTTATTACTACTACGTGATATATTACATATTTTCAGCTATCATTTATTAAACAATTCGACTTATAATAATGTAAACATTCACTTTTCAGTCACTGACCATGGTTCTAACAATTTATTAGTCTTTTTGAAATTACCTTCTACATCAGTCTAAGGGACTAACTCGGTAATTTTTTCCACTGAATTTGAGGCTTTCATCATTTTGTAACTTTTGTACAATTTCATTGCCTGGATCTCATTTGAATCTGGTTTAATGACATGTAAGATAGAAGCTGCAGTTTGATTTATTGAGAACACTTGTCAAGCTAAGTGAACTCAACATACTCCTAGTGTAATGCTCTTTCATTATATACTGAAATCCAAATTTTCATATTCAACTATATTCTAAAATGCCTAGATTTCTTTAGAATAAATTTCATAAATCATGAATTCAGTTATTTTGTTCAATAGTCCCACCGATTTATTCATATGAGTCATCTTCAAATACACAACACTTTCCATTAGTTGGTCACCACATGATAAAAATAATACTTCGTTCATATTACTGCTGAAGTACTTTGATAGATTTTGAAAGGTTCATGACTAGGGCTTATAGTCTATCAGAATCACTATTACATGATAACGAGAAAAATTTACTAAAAACTGTACAGACCTTGAAATGCGATCGTTTGTATGGTCATTTTTAGTACACGGTTGATTATCACTTGACAAACATTCTGTATTGTAAAATAATTTCAGAATATGTAAAATAATATCTCGCTTTATAAGTAATTATAAATATATATTGGTTTGAATTATTTTTTGTGGTTAGCGTTATTTTAGCGAGTTGGTTTACTACGGGATAGGGTCGCCAACCCCATGCCCAACCCTCCTCCTTTATCCAGGCTTGAGAGTGGCAGTAAACCCAGAGGGGCTCCAGGCAGAGTTAATTATATATCCTCTGTAATCAGTTGTATATTGACAATATTAGTACATATAATTACTAGATTTTCACTCATGTATTGAAATAAAGTTTTTTCTATACATTTACAGATTGTACAAGAGACTGATAAACTTTGTGAAACTCAATTTCCACCCTTTACTATATCAATGATATTACCAATGTTAAACAATTTATATTCAGTAAATATTGAAAAAATAGATGATAATTTGTCAAATCATTTTTATACTACTATCATAACATATTTAAAAACAATATTTAATGAGAACAATATATTGGAAGAATTTCTTCAGATTTCAACATTTCTTGATCCACGTTTTAAATATTCAATCAATCAAAATGATTATGAACCTATTTTACATAGATTACGAACAAAAGTATGTTACATTCTTATCATTATATTCATTGAATAATTCAATATTATCAGAAGGGGTTTTGTGAAAATTTCAGTATTTGCATAGTTGAAAGCATGAGTCAATGGAAGCTAGACCACCATGAAAAACATGGAGGCACTAAACGGCCGTTTCGTCTTATTGTGGGACTCTTCAGCAGTGCGCATCCACGATCCCGTCTCGCAAGATTCGAAAACCCAGGACCTATCAGTCTCGCGCCAGAGCCCTTAACCGATAGACCACTGAGCAGGGATTCAACAGTGTTAATGTCTAACTTCAACTTCTCGCACGCAAGACTGATAGGTTCTGGGATTGAATATCGCGAGGCGGGATCGTAGATGCTCACTGCTGATGAGTCTCATATTAGAACGAAATGGTCATCCAATGCTTTCAGGTTTTCCATAGTGATCTAGCTTCAATTGACTCATGATTTCAACTATGCAAATAATTCAATATTGTTTAATATTCAAGAAAACTTGGTATATTTCTGGATTTTATTTTCTGAAAAGGAAGATCATTATTAATATGTACCAATGAAAAATCAAAGGTCATAAAAAGATTTTTTAATTAAAAAATTGTTTTTAATATCTAATAACATTTGAAAATATTCATACTGAACAGAATAACAAATACAAATAATAATGATAATTAATTATTATACTAATATATATAAAATGAAATAATATTATTGTACGAAGTTTATTTTTGGTGAACCTTGCTATCACACTTCTATGGAATGATAATACTGTCCAATATAACAAAGTATTTATGATTACTTGTCCAAATTATGATGTTTAATTAACATCAATGTAAAAGAATGTGTAGGAGAGAGAGAGAGAGGCTTAAGTTTGAAAGCAACAATATGTAAGCTTGGTTATTAAATTAAATTCAGTGAATACTTTTAAATATGTTGTAAGATTCTAAACACTATTAATCAAGAATTTATTTCAATGGATATTCAATTAATAAACAACAACATTCTCAGGGTAAGTAAGAAAAGATACAGTGAATACAGATGCGATAAAAATGATAGATTAGCAAAGTTTATTAAAGGACCAGTCGTAATCAATCGGAAGAATAGACAAGAACTAAGAAATTTTCATAACTAGGTTAGGAAAATAGATACAATCTAACTGGATCAATACCTGTTGACAGTCAGCTAACAACGAGAGAAATAATTATGATTAAGTCTTATCATCGAGTCATTTATATGAGGTTAGGATAGTTGCTGGCAGTACAAATCAAGATACCATAAAGTGTATTACAAACTGAAAGGCTGATGACCATGAAATATAAAAAATAACATGTAAACTACTGTATGTGTATACAAAATGAGGTTAGACATTGTTTAACAGTATTATGAGAATGCGATGAGTAATTCTACTTATCCACACAAATTTCCTTCTAGTTTTATTTTCTTTGACGTTTGACTTTTTCAAAATAATGTTGCTTCGATTAACGCCAAGAAGTTAAACGATCGTACAATTAAAGGATGTTGAATTTCTTTTAATAGCCATTTTTGATGTTATAACCCTGTATATCAGAAGATCCTGCATCTGAGGCATCTGTCCCCATTCAACAACTTATTACATTTATTTCATTTTAATATATTCTTACTTTCCTAAAATGTTTAAAAAACAACACATCCATTAACCCTTTCAATTTGACAGTATATATAAAACTTTTACATTTCTTTTTTGATGTTTTAACTGTTTAATCTCCAATTCAAACTTTACAATCTTTTATAGACCTCATAAATGTTTAAAATTCATCAGAAAATTTTGTTTTTTTTGTATGAGTATCTATTTCTTCCTGATTTACAATAGGTTGTTCTATCATTCACGTAAGAAAAAACATTATGAGCGTTACTAACGAACTAGACAATTATACCTTTGTATATTGTAATAAATCATTGATAGAAAGTATACAAAATGGTAATTCCTTGAAAAAGCTTGGACCAGATTGTCAGGTGAAACGTTGGATTTACTTCGAATTCATTCGCTGAGATCTTATAAATATATTCTTCCTATTTAATGTCTTACATCAACTTGGGGCTCAAATGCTGTGAAACTATTCGCTCTAATTTGGACGAAAGTTCTTACATAAAGTATACAAAATTATATTGCATATAAATTACATATTTAGTAATAATGATTACAAACGATTATTAACTCATTATTCAGTAACATAATAATTATTTTATTAATAAATGCCTAAAATAGTCAAAAATCACTAGTATACAATAAATTTCATAGGTGACTATTTCAGATTGGTTTGGACATGTAATTAAAGTGTTGAAACCATGAGTCAATTGAAGCTAGACCACCATGGAAAACCTGAAAGCACTGGAGTGCTCTGGAGCGAGATCGGTAGGTCCTGGGTTCGAATCTCGCGAAGGTTGATCGTGGATGCACAGTGTTGAGGAGTCCCATAATAGGACGAAACGGCCGTTCAGTGTTCCCGGGTGTTCAATAGTGGTCTAGCTTTCATTGATTTATGATTTCAACCATGCAAATACTGAAATCTCCACAAAACTCCTTCTGATATATTTCAGATTGGTTTGAATATCTAATTTTTATTAATATTTTCTTTTAAAAAAGGAACCATTCATTCTTTCAGTGTATATAAAATAATGAAAATCTAAGAAACTTTTCACTTTTCTTAACTTTTATTTTTTCATATTATAGATATCAATCCTTGATAATTATGTTCAAAAAATAGGAATAAATCGTAAAATGACTTATATGGAAGAATTTCAATATTCAATTAATGATTATATAAATGAAAAATCAATTGATATTAATGAAAATCCTATACAATGGTGGGATGATCAATGTGATAAATCAGAAAAATATTCAATTTTTAAAATTTTAGCATCATATTATTTAACTATACCAATGAATATATTCAATAATAATAATAATAATAATAATAATAATAATAATAATAGTATAAATATGGATGATATCAGTAGTATCTATTCTCAACAAAAAAGTATTAATAAACTTATAAAAAAATTTAAAAATGTTTTTCAAAATGAAACATTTTCAATAAAAATCGATAATAATAATAATAAAATTGTTAATAGTGAAAATAATATATTTGAAAAAAATTCTATTACTAATATAAAATCTAACCATTATTCAATTAATTTATGGAATCGAATTGGAATTAAATTTATACCAATTTATCGATTTTTAAGAAAAAATTGGAAATTTTTTGAAAAATTGTAAGTAAATTTTATTTTATAAAATAAAAATTTAAATATTTTTTTGATAAATTTTGAAATAAATTTTTTTATAATTTTGATTGATTTTTTCTTTTGGTTTTTGTTTTTATTGTTTAAACGTTTACATGCCTTTATTACTTACTTACGCCTGTTACTCTCAATGGAGCATAGGTTGCTGACCAGCATTCTCTAAACCCACTCTGTTCTGGGCCTTTCTTTCTAGTTCTATCCAATTTTTGTTCATTATTCTCATGTCTATGTCCATTTCTCGATGTAATGTATTCTTTGGTCTTCCTCTTTTCCTTTGGCCTTCAGAATTCCATATGAGGGCTAGCCGATTCAAATTATTTTTCGGATCTTAATTATTTTTCTGATCTATTAAAAGTATCGATTGAATGATAAATTATTTGCATTGCATTCTATTCAAGGAAGTTAGAGAGTTGACAACATGTGAGCAAACAATTTTATATCTAGACAGTATTTCACACAATACTTGAAACTTTTCATATGTATTGTCAAAACACAGATTTCTGTTTTGTTTCAGAAACTATGGGGAAATATTTTGATTTATTCAGGCAGTAATGAAAGCCTAAAATCATATAGTTAGTCGTCGTACTATCAATGTGATTTTAATATTACTTTTGCATTATAAGTATGGAATATTTTAGTGTTATAATAGGTCAATTAATCTGTTTAGATGGGATATTTTCTAAACTATTATTTACTGTTATTTATACCATTAGCGAAACTCTTTTTTTCAGTTTTTCCAAGGGATTAGAGATGATTTTATGGATAGAATGAAACCAAGGATTCTTACTAGCTATTATATTCACTTCATAATAACATCTTTACTGCATCCCTTGTCAGTCTTATGTAACAATGTAGATGTATTCTGTTTGATTTATACTTGTAACTGATTATGTATATCTTTAATGAAGTATAAAAACAGATAATCGAATAACAAGCGACAATAATTATTTGTCTGTTATAAGGAAAGATGAATGGTGGAATCTAGGACACGAGTTCTGTACTATTTGGAACTGATCAGCTGGATGTACCTGCACTGCAGAGTTGATGTTTACCACAGAACTTGAACTCAGTACCGTTTGCTGCGAACGCCATCACTTTATCCATTTAGCTACTTAGTCTCGATAACTACTAGCTTATGCAGGGAGGTGAGCTTATAATTCATCTTTGTACTGTTTGTTTGAATCTTCCTATTGATGTTTTGGACTGTAGTTGATTATACTGATCAATCAAAATGTACATATACCAATAAGAAACTGATGAATTAATCATTTAGCTGGTTTCAAAATTTTACATTTGTTATTTAATAGAAAATATAATTTAATTAGTGGTTTATTGGGATAACTAAAAATTTTGATTTCAATTTGTAACTAATTTTAATAATTGACTAAGCTAAAATGAGACAATTTATCCAACATTATAATTTGTTAAACTAGTACACTATACATTTGTATAGTGTGAACTCGGAATTATGATCTACTTAATTAAATTATAGTAAAATGATGGAAAAATATATTTCTTTTTTTTTTACCAAAATAAATATCGAATTTGTATTTTCGAAAAAGTGCCATCTTAGTATTCAATAGATTTTTAGTGTCCCCCCTATTTCCAGTACTCATTTAATTAATATTATTTCTCATAGTTTTTACTGAATTGGCATTCAAATTACTTTCGTATATTTAAATAACTACTTATAAAATCAATTATTCTTACAATTATTATTATTATTATTATTATTATTGTAGTGAACATACGGATGAAGATATCAATATTTGAATTACATAATTGAAAATAATTCTACTTATTTATCAAAAGATATTCACTTTTTCAATGGATGAAATAATCAACTTCTAATCTTTATCTTATAATTTATTCAATCATGATTCTAATAGCAAATATAATGATCTTAACTAAATATGATCATCAAATCAAACTGAAAATCATGAGAATAGAATCATTGAACATCAATAAAACAAAAAAAACATCCAAAGTTTACACCATGTAAAATCTACAATAGAAATTACATGTTATCCTTGACATATTTGATGATGTTAATCTTTTAGTTTTTATTCAATAATTTAGTCTTTCTGATACTTTTCTTTTCTTTTTTCTTTTCTTTTTTTTTCTCTAGAGATTCAATTTTAATTTATAAAACAAAAAAAGAAAAAAAATATTTTAATTGTTTATTTTTATCTTTTTTGTTTTAGAAAATATTTAAGTTCACTTAAATTATTGTTATAAAATAAAAAAAGGAAACTGTAAATTTACAGGGAATTATATAATAAATAAACCAATTTAAGGATACCATGTATTTTGTATGTTCGGTATATACATATCTATATAATAACATTTTGAATCAAAACATACCTGTCTTTATTTGATTTTAAAGATTTATACTAATATTAGTCTTATACATGTATATGTAATTCACTATTCAATATATTTAAAAAGGAAATGATGAAAAGTAATGACTTCATTATTATCAGAAGGGGTTTTGTGGAGATCTCAGTATTTTTCATAGTTGAAATCATGAGCTCGCGAGTGCGATATCATGGATGCGCACTGCTTAGGAGTCCCATAATAGAACGAAACGGCTGTCCAGTGCTTCCAGATTTTCCATGAAGGTCTAGCTTCAATTGACTTCATTATTCTTTTTATAAAACTAGTAGTTGTTAATGAATACACTTATATTATGATGATACTTACGTCTGTTAGCCCCAATGGAGCATAGGCTGCTGACCACCATTCTTCAACCCACTGTGTCATGGGTCTGCATTTTTAGGTCTATTCAATTGTTGTTCATTGTTTTGATATATATCTCCACTTCTCGGCGTAATGTGTTCATTAGTTTTTCTCTTCTTTTTTTATCTTGAGAATTCCAAGTAAGGGCATGGCTTGTGACGTAGTTGTATACTTTCCTCAATGTGTGTCTTATCCACTTCCTGATTTCTTCCTCCGCTGAAATCATGATTGATCCTACAGATCTTACTAATATCTTATTAACAATACTTTGAGAATTCTCTTAATAACTCTTATTTATTTAAACATATAAATATTGGTACAAAGGGGCAATATATATATATATATATATATATATATATATATATGCGCTGCACAAATCTTATTTGATTTGCATGAGGGCTGTTATACTGCCCAGGTGCTCAAACTGAAGCAGGTGGTCTTCTTAGGGGGCCACACCTGTAGCCTTCGACCCAAAGGTCTTATCCACAAGACAATGGAGCATCGTGATGAGATGCAGTCCCATGGTAGCCGGTGACCAACAATCGGTTCATACGCCATTTTTCCCTCAGGATACTGGAGCCCATGTGCACCATTAGTTTGGAATCAGGGTTTTCCAACTCCCCTAGGTGGACTTTCTGTGTCCACCAACCCGATTAAAGCGCCGGACATTCACTTTTCATCTCAACAGTCCCGCTACGAGAGGGTAGTGAGTAAGACTTCCTCGTCAGAGGTTATATACTCATTGCCGTGTGATAGTATTTCGAGAGGGAGAACAGACCATCCCCATTCTCAGCCGTATAAGGGCATTTGGGGGCGTTAATAACTCTTACCGTAAAAAATACCTGTTACAACCCTTATCATACTTTTGATTGGTGAAATGAGATTAAGGTATTTGTTGTTATGGTTTTATCATTGAGTTTTTCAGTTATGACAAATCACTCGATCGTTACCGGCTTGAAAAATTCTCACTCGATTTCCTCTGATACTAGGTGAATAAGTTGAAGAGCTATTGGAAGAAAATAAATATTTTTTTACTTGCAAGTATATATTCGTCATACAATTTTGCCACAGTGTTTCAATAGTATGAGGATTTTTATGAAATATCAAAATCTTTGGTGATTTTGTTTTCTTTTGAACAAGAGGAAGAGAATGAAGATAGCTATCTCAAATAACAACCTCTTTTAGGCCAGAAGTTTCTGGTGTCTACGGCAAAGTTTAATAATTTAACCAGCTACTAATACCTTAAAAATACCTCTTACAAAATGTCATGTGTGGTTGAACTAACAAGTTTTACCTTTGGATTTACTGACAGCACTCCCTTACTAACAAGACCACATGAACTAACCAAGATTCAGTTTTAAACATCAAGAAAAGAAATGGCCTCCTACTATAAGATCAAACAATAATTGGGAAACATCTGCATTTCTGTAATAGCTACTACTAAGACTATATTTTTAATATACAGTTTTCTGAAGTCATGTTTTAAACGATATACTTAATTTTGCAGTGTTGAAATTCAGTTTCTAGTTAGACATCGACATTTTAAAACCGAATATTGCGGATTACTGCTGTATCTTTCAAACCTGAATTCAAGAATTGAATATGCTAGCTTACCTGACTTTAATCAGTAAATCTACAGGAACATTATAGTGGATTGTTTCGTATTTGATTACTTAGTTGTTATTTCATTTGATCATCCAGATGCAAACATTATATTACTTTAACATTTGGAGCTGTCACTTTCAGATTGTAGTTCTGCTTTAAGTCGTTCATATTTAGTACAATTAACCAGAGATTAACCATAGATATAAATCTATAAATAATCTGAAACAACTTAAGGCACCAATATTCACTTGAAACTGTTCATTAGACAAGTAAATATGTCACATAAAAATGACAATAAGTTATTCAGTACTCCATGTAGCAATTCGTTTTTAGCAATAAGAACAATGACCTTATATTTCGATTATTGACTTTAGATGATCTGTATCTAAAGTATAAAACAAACGATTATTTAAATTACATAGTTATCAGTATGTTAGACTAGATAATATCTATCAACTTCTAAAGTAATCACTGGGTAAATAACTATTCAAGGACATTCTAATGATGTATAGTAATTCAGAAAATTAAGATTACATATACAATATATGACAATATTTTCTGTTAAATAGTAAAATTACTAAAATTCTCTGCCAACAGTGCAAAATTATTTAGAGGATTTATATTTTCTATTGTGAAAACGTTTTAGTGTCTATGATGTGTCCTGGGTTCAAATGCCGCGAGGTGGGGTCGTGGATGCGCACTTCTGAGGAGTCTCACAATGTGACGAAACGGCCGTCCAGTGTTTCCATGTTTTTCATGGTGGTCTACCTTCAAGTGATTCATGATCTCAACTAATAAAAATTACTATAATATCCACAAAACCCCTTCTGATAATTTCAATTATGTCAATCGACTAACATCTTATTAATAAATATTATGAAACGAATTTCTTTATCGAAAAACAATCATTATCAAATTTCTACATAGATGAGAGGTTTTTTTGATAGACAGATCATTATGAGAGATTATTTTTAAATTTTAATTAGTTGAAATGTGACTTACGTAATCAATATCACTTATTAAATCCTAAGATTATTTGATGAACGTATTACAGCAATGATCGAACTCAATGAACATCGTGGTAGACAGAGCTTGAAAATTATTTGTCTACTCTACTATCTAATCATTAGGAATATAATCCAAATTATATAAAATAATTAAATTCGGTTGATCTATTAATTTTTTTATGGTTAACTGTTGTAAACAATTAATATGCAAAATAGAAAACTATTATGTCATCCATGTTAATTAAATAAAAAACTGTTCATATAATGTCAATTTACTTAGTATTATTTACTTGAACATTCCCATTGATGTTTAGGACTACAATTGATCAATCCCTTATTGGAGTATATGCATAGTGTGCAGATCGTCTCGATATTGTCTTCAGTCACAAGCATTTCAAGCAAAGACGGAGAGTAGCTAGCAGTGTAATCCAGAACATACGTTTTATCTTATTTGGTACTCATCATCTGGATGTACCTGTATTCCAGAATTGATGTTCACTTCGGGATTTGATCCCAGTACCGTTCTCTTCAAATGTCCACGCTTTATCCACCTAGCTACTGAGTCCCAAACAGGACGAGACGCGCGTCCTTACTTACTTACTTACTTACTTTCGCCTGTTACTCCCAATGGAGCATAGGCCGCCGACCAGCTTTCTCCAACCCACTCTGTCCTGGGCCTTCTTTTCTAGTTCTTTCCAGTTCTTGTTCATTTTTCTCATGTCTGTCTCTATTTCTCGGCGTAATGTGTTCTTTGGTCTTCCTCTTCTCCTTCGACCTTCAGGATTCCATGTGAGGGCTTGTCTTGTGACACAATTGGGTGATTTCCTCAAAGTGTGCCCAATCCACTTCCAGCGCTTCTTCCTGATTTCTTCCTCCGCTGGAATCTGGTTTGTTCTCTCCCACAGTAACTTGTTGCTGATAGTGTCTGGCCATCGGATCCGAAGTATCTTGCGTAGACAGCTGTTAATAAACACTTGTATCTTCTGGATAATGGCTTTCGTAGTTCTCCACGTCTCTGCCCCATACAGAAGAACTGTCTTGACATTTGTATTGAAAATTCTAACCTTGGTGTTGGTTGACAATTGTTTTGAGCTCCAGATGTTTTTCAGCTGTAGGTATGCTGCTCTTGCTTTGCCGATCCTCGCCCTCACATCTGCATCTGATCCACCGTGTTCATCAATGATGCTGCACAGATATGTAAAGATTTCCACATCCTCCAAAGCTTCTCCGTCAAGTGTAATTTGATTGGTGCATATTGTATTGTATCGGAGAGTCTTGCTTTTCCCTTTGTTTATATTGAGACCTACTGCTGCTGAGGCTGCTGTTACACTGGTCGTTTTCTCCTGCATTTGTTGTTGCGTTTGTGATAGAAGAGCCAGATCATCCGCGAAGTCTAAATCGTCAAGCTGCATCCTGCCTGTCCACTGTATCCCGTGCATTCCTCCAGATGTTGACGTCTTCATAATCCAGTCGATCACCAGGAGAAAGAGAAAGGGTGAGAGTAGGCAACCTTGCCTAACACCGGTCTTTACCTCGAACGAGTCGGTGAGTTGTCCTCCGTGGACGATTTGGCAGTTTAGTCCATCATAGGAGTTCCGTATGATATTTACTATCTTCTCAGGCACACCGTAGTGTCGAAGAAGCTTCCACAGTGTCGTCCTGTCCACGCTATCAAATGCCTTCTCGTAGTTGATGAAGTTGATGTACAGTGATGAATTCCATTCGATTGATTGTTCCACAATGATACGTAGAGTTGCGATTTGATCTGTGCACGATCTATCCTTACGAAATCCAGCTTGTTGATCTCGAAGTTGAGCGTCCACGGAATCCTTCATCCTGTTTAACAATACTCTGTTGAAGACTTTTCCTGGTATTGAGAGGAGAGTGATGCCTCTGTAGTTGTCGCACTTGCTCAGATCGCCTTTCTTTGGTATCTTGATGAGAAGTCCTTCTTTCCAGTCTGTTGGTACATGTTCTTCGTCCCAAATCTTACCGAAGAGGATGTGGAGTATCTTGGCAGTTGCTGTTACATTTGCTTTCAGTGCCTCTGCCGGGATGCTGTCTGGTCCCGCTGCTTTGCCACTCTTGATTTGTCTAATGGCCATGCTGATCTCTTCAATTGTTGGTGGGCCAATATCGATTGGG